ATATTTTTTTAGGTATCGGCAGTGAACGTATTGCGCAGTAATACTACGAATTCAACTGTTATTGCTGATGCTCTTTCATTATATATAAGTTCATCAACAAATTCAAATGGATCATTGAATTCAACTTATACATTAACAGTCAATGATATTGATGATTATGTCACCAGTATCAATAATGTTAATTTTACAAGAAGCACTAATGAATCCATGCTTATCGCTGTACCACCAAATCAAGGAGATGGTGTATTTGTTTTAGGTGCTTCATTCACACGTGGTATTGGTGGCACAGTTGTGAATACTAACAATAGTGAGCAAATTACGAATACTGAGCTATCAACAGCAGCTCTCATTAGCAATCTATCTTTAACTGGGGTCACATCTCTGAATATGCTCATCATTGATAAACCTACTAAATATGAAAACTTAGATAATTCAACTGAGAAAAAACTTGCATCATCAGTTGTCGTTGTAGTAGTGAACAGAAATAATGTTTCATCAAATCAAATAAATATTTCTCTTTTTTTCCAAATCCTAAATGAATATCGACCAAGTGGTGACGTCGAATATATTTGTTCTTTTTATGAAACAAATGATTTGAAATGGAATGAATCTGGTTGTACTGCACCTCAATATAATGCTGTATTCAATCGATATGAATGTAATTGTAATCATTTAACTTCTTTTGCTCTTCTTTGGTTACCAAGAGTACAACTTACTCGAGATCTTCGTCCAGTAGATATTGCATCACTTGTATTTCAATCAATATCAATTGTTTGTTTCATAATAATTATTATTAATGCTATTGTTATGAGAGTTAGACGTCCAATTATGGGTTTTAGAGCATATGATATATTACCTTTAATATCTTCTGCAAGTACAACAATTCTTTTTGCTTTTTATATAGCTCTATCAATGACTGTTTATACAAAAACAACATCTGAAAATGAAAGTCAATGTTTTCTAAGTTCAAGTGTCTTAATGTTTTTCGTTTATTTCTTTTTAATTTTTATGTTCTGTGCTAAGACTAGTGTTGGATACTTTAATTATCTTCGTTTTGTTCATTTATTTCCGGAACCATCACTTCGAAAACTGTTTGTTATGCTTGCCATATCGTTTGTATTCTCCATTGCATGGGTCGCTTTTGCAGTTGGATTTAATTCCAATTCATCATTCAAAATTACACAACTATATCCATATAAAATTTGTTGGTTTACTCGTGATGTTATTTATTATTTTTTGACCATACCTGTTTGTCTGTTTCTTTTAGTTAATATTATCATATTTATTCGTGTAGCTCAACGTATAATAAGTCATGTTCGACATGCTAAATCACCTCATAAATCATATGGTAGAATGAAACGATGTGTACTTATTTTACTTTCATCATGTGCTACTCAAGGTATTGGTTGGCTTTTTGGTCCATTTCTAACATTTGTTAATCCAGAAGCTGGGAAAGTTTTAGAGTGGATATTTAATATTTTAAATGGATTAGAAGGTCTTTGGTCTATACTTTTATATATGATAATTCGATCAACACGTATGGATGAACAAAAACGTTCTGTTGCTGCAAGAGAGCTTAGTAAAACAAAAAGTACTATAATAGATAAGGATAAAAAATCAAATACTGACGATGATCAAAATGGAACTCATGATGAAATAAGAGAATCTCAAATCGAACGTCGAAGAAGAGAAAATGAAAATCGTGATGAAACAAGAGAATGTGACATTCAAGATCTTCGTAGAAAAAATAAAGTACCACATATATTCGATGACTTGTATGATTTAAAAGACTGTGCTATGCCTATTAGCAATGATAATGATTCGTAATAGTCTTAAAACGACAACAATTATTTATGAAGTGAATACTTTTCTTGAATAAATATAAGACAATAAATATATCATAATTTCAAAATCTTTCATTTTTTTCGCTGGTATTTTAGAATACAGGATGTTCCAAAAGTCACACTACATTCCAAAAACCTTGGATTTCTCCGTCATCTTTTGATCAGATGAACTGATTTTTCATCACTGATAAAGGAGTATTCATAGGCCATATTCATAAGAGAAACATTGTCAAAAGTTGTTTTGAAATATGTATAACTGACATTAACAAAAAACGACGACCTTTCATGAGTTGCGAACAACCAATATTGCAGCTGTATCAATAAAATCTTGCCGTTTACGATTCAAACTTTCAGGATACACTGGGTAACAGGACATGTATCTGCATGCAGTGCAAGTATGAGATCAAACGGCACTGGTGTAAAGAACTGATTAAAAAAAATTATATGCCGTTTATTCTTAATTATGGGAACAAATCTCTGATTATTTTCATAGCTAGTAAAAGGTGAAGTTCTTTGTTAAAGCCAGTTATAAATATTTCAGGACAACTCTTGACAATGTTTCTCTTATGTCTATGGCCTATGAATACCCCTTTATCAGTGGCAAAAAAAGATCAGCCCATTTGGTCAAAAGATGACGGAGATATTCAACCTTCTCAAAGTGTACTGTGACTTTCGAAACACCCTATATTATTCAAACGAAAGAACAGAAATCAGAACATACTTATATATTTTGTTTTCAATATAATGACTTTGTGATTAGTTAATTGATTATTTTTTTCATAAAATAGGATACATGTATTTACCATATAAGAAAACTTTTATTTTTGATATTTTCATCTTTTTGGTTGTTTTTAAAAAATAGTTAATTTATTCATATAAACGTCAATTATTTCCTTTTTTATTCTAATGCTACTAACGCGAGAAACTCTCCAGCTGTCAAGTTATTGTTTTTTTCGACCGCAACATATTCATTTAATAAGTAGGCTGTAGTGTGGGTGTTGGTGTGTGTGGGATCCAAGTCTTCCACCCATGACCACGCCCACCCACACCCTCAACTTCTTTCCTATTTCGATCACGACGGCTAAATTTCATTCGCAATCGACATACTTTAATCTTCGAACAGTGCTTAGTCATAATCTCTTTCCATTAATGTCGGTTCAAATACACATCATGCGCATTGATTATTAAACAGTGCAAAATCGGTGTTTTCTGAAATGAATTCATCATTGGAAGTATTAACAACAAATTTGAATGTTCAATGCTATTATCGAGTTAGATCTGTTTTTGAGAGGATTAGCATCGGAATTCAAGCCGAGATCCGTTCGAAAATGTCGAAAACGACTTATGTGCTTGAATAGATGAGATAGATCTATTGAGCAAACGTCGCAATTCTTGATAAATAAAACATCAATCGATGACGAAGATACCGGGTGTGAGTGTGGGTGTGAAGTAGGAACGAGGAAAAGATTCATACCGATACTTGTTCATATCCATGGCATATCATTCCACGCTAGAAAAAACATGAAATTGTTTTCTTTTTCGTTTTCGGTTATTACACTACTATTTATAACATAGAAAGCATGCAATTTTTTTCGGTATTCTTTCGTTCTCTATTCTCTTTATTAGTATTCATTTTGACATTTGTGAAAGTAATCAAATAGGTCCAAATATTTGATTAAGTAATGAAGTTATGCAGTCCATCTTCTTGCAAAGAAACAAGTTATTATGAGAATCATCATCTATTCATCGTTTAGCAGCTATAATACTTGTATAAGCATTGCCTGCACCATCGCTCGTCCATTTTATCCAACATTTCTGATTACGCGTATCCAAAACAAATGCATTGCATCCACTTGTTGTCAAACATAGGGAACGGCACTCCGAGAATGTCTTTGGTGCTTAGCTGGTTATATCATTGCTTGGGTAATCCAAATTCAAAGTGATAGTGAAGTTGAAACAAGAATATAGTACCAAAGATACAGTGAAGAGTCAACTAAGAGAATGAAGAGAATTATCAGGAATACCTGTCATGGTAGTGGTGATCGATGTTATTGTCTTGGAACCTATGAAAACACTAATCATCGTCGAGTCTGAAGGGAGAAACTGCGATAGATCGCGTGTTGTTCGGGATTTTATTTATCTCCATTGATCTTCACCAATCCTCATACATTCCAAAGCCGTCAAACAAGAAGGTCCAAGACCTTGATGAATCCTAAAGCCTTTTAGATTCAATAAAAATCTTTGGAATCTATGCAGAGAGATTACTTGGGTTCTGAGATTCATGTTCCTGTTTATAGTCTTATCTCAGATTAACAACTAGCTATTCAGTTTTTGTGGAAAAACAATTTCAAAACAACAGATTTGATTATACATGACCACAAATGAGTTCACTCCAGTCCTTGTAGTCCAACAATTTTAGAAACTAATTAATGAAAGATGTCAATATGCTAAGCCTATCCTTTCTGTTTCAGTGCGTATCGCTTAGTTTCAAGACGCAAGAGATGCTCAGTTTTTACGCTATTTTACAGTTTATTTTTTGTTATAAAACAATCATTGGACTATCGATCTGATGCATTCAAAAACGGATCGTTTTAGGCTTCTTCTACTTTTCATGTTTCTTTTAATAAATTATCGGTCTTAATGTGCCAAAATCTTTCGTAAAAAGCAAAGCTATGTATCCAGAAACATTTTGCATCTTACGTAAGAACAAAATAAAATTTATAGCTAGTTCTTTCATTGTGTCACAAATAAATAGCAAAAAGACGGTGCTTGGCGTGAATACGGACAATCGCACGGATAATTTTATATGGTTTTGTCTTAATCACAAAAAAAATCTTCTTGAACTCTTACATACAACAAGATAACTAAAGTCAAACGACAACGTGATCTGGCACATTTTTCCAGAAGCTTTCGCTAGTATGTGGCTATTTGTAATGACAGCCATTATTGGTTTATCTTCTTTCAGTGAACATATCAGAACAGATTTCTTCTTTAAAAGGGCTTAATACACAAGAAGAATATCATAAATATTGTGGGATGTGGGTGTGCAGTGTGTGCGTGTGGGTTTATGTACAGGGTGGTAAATAATATTATTCTAGGGGGCTAGCGCTTTAATTTCAAATAGAAGACATAATGAATTTTATATCAAATGAAAGCTCGTCAAAAATGGGGTTCATTGATACTAAATAGTGTGGATCATGAACACCTTTTAATGTCAAACTTAAGAAGTATTTAGAAATTTGATACTTTTTTGGGACTGGAAAACTAAGATGGCATTAATTGAAAAATGGAGTAAAATGTTTTTCTTGAACATTTTTACATGGTTCGATAGAGCTCGTCGAGCTCTACAAAACTGTATATATATGAAATTTTTTAAGTCAGATTGTTGCGATAAAAAATTCAAAAAACTAGTTCAAAAATGTTAAAAAGCGTTTAAAAAAAATCATACTTGAGATGGAAGAGAAACACTCGGTTTTTCAATAAAATTAGCAGTTTTGTATTGTTTTTACTTCTTAAACCCTCTCAAAGTATACTCATTCGACGCAGCGTGAAAAACTGAATCCAATGAGTATATTTCGAGAGGGTTTGAGAAGTAAAAACAATAAAAAACAGCTAATTTTATTGAAAAACCGAGTGTTTCTCTTCCATCTCAAAGTATGATTTTTTTTAAACGCTTTTTAACATTTTCCAACTACTTTTTTGAATTTTTTATCGCAAAAATCTGACTTAAAAAATTTGATATATATACAGCTTTGTAGAGCTCGACGAGCTCTATCGAACCATGTAAAAATGTTCAAGAAAAACATTTTACTCCATTTTTCAATTAATGCCATCTTAGTTTGCCAGTCCCTAAAAAGTATCAAATTTGTAAATACTTCTTAAGTTTCACATTAAAAGGTGTTCATGATCCACACTATTTAGTATTAATGGACCCCATTTTTGACGAGCTTTCATTTGATATAAAATTCATTATGTCTTCTATTTGAAATTAAAGCGCTAGCCCCCTTGAATAATATTATTTACCACCCTGTATATCTACACCCATGCCCACCCCAATCGTCACGATGAACAACGAATCCCATTGATAAAAAGACAAACTAGCAATTCCAATATGCTAAGAACTATTATGCTGTTTTGCGCAATGAATAAAAACTCATTGCAGTCTTCATCAGTTTAATACACCCTCAGCAAAATGTATTCGATAGTTGAAACGATTACTTTTACTTAGGTTCGACTCGACTAATCAGAAAGTCGAAAATCAGTTCGGGTTCGGTCCAGTTCGACTCGAGTTTTAAAAGCTTTGTTCGATTCGTCTTTGGGCTCTGGTGTGGGTGTGAGTAGGTGCAGATGTCATTTTTCTCTTCATTCACACCCATACTCCATACACAAGCTCACATCCTTGTAATTGACTGCATTTTTTTGTACTACTAAAGCAAACTTTCGCAAAATATGTGCACTAAATATATATTATTTGATCGACATAGCTTATATACAGCAGTCTTTACCGCTGTTTCTGAATTTGGTGAAATCAAGATAAATTGATGATATGCATCTGAGACGATGTACAAAGTAAAATATTACGGGTTATTGACAACGAAAGAATAATCGTTTTATAATAAACTCGGTGTTCTTTCGTTTTCTCTTGGCCATTATTGGTTTTTGTCGTCAGTTATCTGTCACTCTTTTATTATTATTGATATTATGCAAAATGACATGACAAGTGTAAGAAAAAATTGAATAAGTTAGTTCAAATATTCATAAATTCAAAAAAAAATGTTCATTTTGAATCAAGAAAATAGAAATGATAGCAGTTTCAATTTAAATCAAATTCATTCACCGTTGACAATTTCGAATAAATAGGCTCATTAAGTTGTCTATTATTATTTTTTCGCACAAAATACTGATTGTGTAATATACCTATAAATGCAAGTAGTATAATAACGAATACAATGCCAAAAACGAAGAAAATTGGTGCAAAATCTCTGCCGATAGATTTTTTTGATTTTTGATAATTTGATTCATCATCAGTCGATGAAACACTTGATTCATCATCTACCGATTCGTCGATATAACCACTATAACGAAAAGCAAAACACTTCATGAAGCTCGAAAAACTCATTTGATATTTCCAAGAAATCAAAACAATGGACATCTTTCCTTTTTTTGTATCATCTTGATTGAATTCCAATAATTGAGTCCTGTCATACCTATGACTCTTAATATTCATGGTCAAATCAATTCTGATAAAGACTTAGTAGAAAAATCGTTTTAAAAATACTCATCAAGCATAAAATAAGAAAACAATCAATGTAGAACCGTTTATAATACAAATCTATAGGATAAATATTAGAAAATTTTTCAATCAGGATGCAAAATAGGAAAAGCTTCCCTTCTCATCTATATTTTAGAAAAATGTATTGATCGTATTAATTAACATTTGCTGACATATTCACTAACTCGAATATCACACAAAATTAAAATTTACAGTTTACAAGAGCAAATCTAATTATACTCTACATGTATCGTATTAACAACTAACCGTTTTGCTATAATGGCACGTGTTTTTCGAATCGGCGACTTTTGACATATTACAGTTGCTAACCGATCACAAGGTATTTCATCACATGAAATAGATAATTCTGTGTTAGATCGAAAATCAACATATCCACACCCAGTTTGTTGAGATTTTAATTGATTCTTTTCGTTTTCATAACGTATACGAAATGTCCTTTTGCATTCATAGTAAAAAGAATCAGGATCTGATATATTTCCTAAAACATTTTCATACTTCCTGTTATATTGTATAATAGTATGATTTTGATTATTATAAATAAGACCAACATGTGCAACACCAGATGATGCGTAACTACGTCGACGTAAAAATAATAATTTTATCATTTTCAATGTCATCATTTTTCCAGGTATGAATAACATAGAATTATCACGTTCACATTCAGTTTTTGCATCCTGCCAAGTCGTCTCGTGAAAGTATACTTTATAACAATACTGATCTATAAGATGATACTCTTTATCATTTCCACATGAATAATCTATTGATGTATTAACTGATATAATTGACGAATTGTTATCATTAGTTGAAGAAATAACCGTTGAATCAGATTCTAAATATTTATCAACACAAACTGGTATAGCAGACTTGGATGAACATTCATCTGATTCAGTAAAACACCGTTCATAACTTGTTGTATTATCAATTAGAATTTTTTGATAACGAAGAAGAATACAATTTTGATCAATTGATTCTGATGTTTGAGAACATCTTCCAATAGGACGTTCTAATGTTACATTGTTATTTATGATATTGGATGTACGATCAATCCAAAAATATTTTTTATTATCAAGTGGACTTGAATAATAATAATGTGATGAATAGCTGAAGATACCATAGAAAGTGAAAACTGAGCTGAATAAAACATCTTGAATTCCTAAAATATCGTTCATTTTTGCAAGCATACTACCAATTGATTTACAGTATGATTGTGCATCTGCAAAAGAATCTTTCTCTATCAAAGTATCTGTATACACACATCTTCGTTTATCTTTATCTAGCATAAAACCTAAAACACTAATAAAATTTCTTATTTTCTGTTTATATCAATGATTAATTTTGATTTTTGTTTTCTTACCTACAGGACAGTTTAGTTCCATTACGTACATTGAATATATCGATGAATTACTGGTATTTCCACATGTATAGAAATAATTAGCTGGACATTCTCGAGTACAATTAAAATCGAGAGGTGCAAAGAGATTATATTGTTTCTTTTTCGGTGAGATATTGGTACATAAACATTTGTTTGAATTAAGAAGAGCATATTTTTGTTGATAATTTGTACATAATTCTAAACAATGACGCGGATGAACATCAATTGTACGTTTGAAATTGAATTGGTACATTGTTGATGGATTCACAGAATTTAAATTAATACAATCATCAAAAACAAAATCAGGATTTGGTTTATCTAATTTATTTTGCAAGCCGAATCTAGATGAAAATAGATTACCAGAGATATAAAAGATAACGATTGTATTTTGATTACCACAGCGTTCATATTTATTCCCTAAAAGTGTAAATAAAAAGCTCAAAAAAAAAGAAAAGAGCAAAATTCAAAATAAACAAAATAAGAGAAGCATTATGAATTTCTAGCTTCTTCTATCAGATATATTTATAAAGGCAAATAAGTTTATTAACTATGAAAATTATCGATAATATAATATTCATAATAGATCCTATTAGGACATAATAAATTGATTATCATTTGAAGATTTAATTAAACTTTAAACTGAAATTCAAAATGAAATAAAAATGAATTATTCGAGTAACTTGAAAAATATATTTCAAGTAAATTTGAAGAGAATAGTTGCAATAATATTATGTGTAGAATATATTATGATATTTAGCAGTCTAGAATGTTGCAGCTTAAAATGAATTGTAATAAAAGAAAACGAAATGATTACATATGATTGTAAAATTTTGTCAAGAACGATAGTACAGCGAACATTCTCTTGTTTTAATCACAACTAGAGTTAGTTGATCTTTAGTGTTGCATTCGATAAAAAAATTCTGAACTATAGTTGAATTGATTTATTAAAAGAAAAATATTAATATTTATTCTTGCAACATACCCGGACAAGGATTTCCACAATCTTGTCTTTTATGTTTTGAATTATTTCGTGTGATTTCAGCTAGCCATGTAAAAGCAGCATTGAAACAATAACATTTATTTTCGTGAAGAACAGCTAAATTTGTTTCTAATTCTTTACAAACAGATAAACATAATTCATATGTTAAATGATTTGATATCATGACTGGTACACCAAGTGTTAATGGTTTATGAAAACAACCTTTTTCAGAATGACTACTTATTATTGGCTTTGTTTTACATAAAACATGTCTTGGTTTCGAACAATTATTGATTTGAATGTTTTTTAAAATAGAACTTCCTTTATCGTCAATCACTGAACGTGTGAAAACTAAACATGAGTCATTTTTTCTAGTTGAATTATTAATTTCATTGAAATCCATCAATTGAAATTCATTTATAAATGAACGATTAATATTAAGATTGGATTCTAATGATGATATATTTTTATTATCTTGATTTGTAGATTCATTTCTTGATACATCTAAGAGAAAATTATGTTAGTATTTATTGAAAAAGTATCGATATTATGTTCATGCTTATTACGTTTTATATTATCTTCGAAGTTTATAAGAAATGATAATTGTCAGATTATAGCTGTTCCTTTTTTTCTTTCTAAGAAAATTATTCCGGCATCAGTATAAAGTCCTTCTAGATTTTTCTACGTAAAATTAAGTATTTCCGTAGGAGTTTTTATTCTAATAGGAACTTTTACAAATATTCATGTCTATGAACGATGTTCATACACATTCTTTTCAATGGATAGATGGATTTTCTGTTTGTTTTATAGAATAATGCTTATGATAGGATTAAGCTTTCTATATGTATTTCAATAGTGACAATCTATACTGTGTAGTTGATAAAGAAAACAAAACAAAAATAATTTAGTCAATTCACAGAGTACCAATAAAAATGAAGGGATTGATGTTTAAATATACTTCTATTTCAATCGAATCATTCTTTCGAATAAAAAATCAAAGCTAAAATAATTTGAAAGTTGTTTTCTACTTATTCTACGAATTAAATAATAGTATTCTCTCAACTATGAAGAACCACTACAACAACAAAAAAAACATTTATCACATTCCTATCGAAGATTTTACTTGTATCAAGCAGGAAAAAGCCAAGACGACCTTGCCATTGTGACGTATATTGAACGATTTCGCCTTTAAGTAAGTCACTGATATAATCCTTGAATTTATTATCTCTTTCCTTCTTCTTATCATCATCATCGTCATCACTATCACTGATATGTGCTATAATCTCCTCATGTTTTTTACTTCGTTCAGTCTCGGATACAGCAATACAACTATTTCTTGCTTCTTGTATTGTTTTACGTTCATCCGATATTCGATAACAATGTTCATTTAAATCAAGCCAATTCATTGGACAATCATACATCATTTGATTAACACGAGACGTATAAGTTGAATAACTTTCAAGGTCATCAAATAGTGAATCTCTACGTATTGAATATGTTATACACAAACGATATGATATTGTATATAAAGACCATAAATATGAACCTACACGTAAACAGCCATTATCTAATAAATACTTGGTATTAAAAAAACTCGAAGTGAAATATCTTGTATCAGAAGGATTTGAATTTGTTGTTGTTGTTGTTGGACATTTCCATGAAGGATCAATAGTAACATCATCATCAAAATCTATTGAAACAATCGATTTAGTTAAGTTTAACTTTTCAATAATTTGGAGAAAATTATTCCATGTTATATTTCCATCATACACATACTTTATCGATGACGATGGGCATGAATCCCAAAGTCCTTTATATGTAAACATACATTCTTTTAATTCTTTTATATAAATAAAACCAGCCGGACATAAATCAGTTAATTCATATATAGCCCATATACGTGAATCGTTCAATGAACCACATTTGAATTGATGTTCGATGTTTGAATCACCCAATGTATTATCACAATAACGATTACAACTGTTATTTGGTAAAATTGTTAAATAAACTGCCGGATTAGAATCTGCATTTAATTTTTGCGGCATTATGCATAAACATTGATTGTTATCACTGTTGAAAGCTAGAAGAAAGGTATCAGTTTTTTTGTTACAGAAGAATTTTTCTTCACGTCTTTAACTATGCTATAGTTGTCACTTAATAAATAAAGAAAAAAAATAGAACTTTTGTGATTGAAATGCACCTTGTAAATTTAATAAGACGATTTCCTGCAATGGAGAAAAATTGTTTTAAAGAGTCAAGAAATCATCCATACTAGTAAGGCTTAACCTCGAGAAGTCTATAAAGTATTTCCAATGCATTTTCTAATCAGTATTTACTATATTGCTTTTGATAATTTTTAATTTAGTGGAATTATTAGGATAGGAAATGGTGATTAAAAATGATACGAGAACTCTCCGATAACGATTCACTCTTCAAATATTTCTTTTACCTATTGATTTTGTTGTCGCATTTTGATCAAAACATGCAGCTGCACATCGTTCCAATTTAGTCAATGATGATTTAACAAATGATTCATCAATTTTAACTTGCAATATATCATAATAACCAGAAGTATTCCAAAATTGACAGGATGTAAATTGAATCCGATACTCAAATAAATGAGCATGTCGAGTATAAAATTGATGTTCAGCATAAGCTGAATAAGTTTCTTTAGCACCACATGTATTAGTTGTTTTAACTTGACGATTACCTGGCGCTGGACATGGTATTGTACAATATATATCTCTCTGTCGACTATGATCCATAAGACCACCACCTGAACATCGGCATATTTTGTCTTGTATATAAATAATTGGTGTTTCACATAAACGAAAACATAATGTCGGTTCCATATATGAACTTGTAAAATAACTATCATAAAATATTTGTGTATAACAACCCACATAATAATATGAGCTGTACACTGTATTTGTTACAAAAATCATTATCAAAAGAGAAGTCACTTTTGAGTCAAGCATCATATTTTGAAATCATAGAAGTAAATGATTGATGAAAACAAAAGTCGAAAATGTTTCTAATGTAGAAAGCAAGATAAGAAATATGAGATATTGAGTAATTATTTAGTATCGAAACATTGATAATAGGAAAGAAAAAAGAATGCTGACCTTTTGCTTCATTTTATCGATATTTGATAGAACGAGTTATGAATATTTTGTTTCTATGAAGTAGAATTTTAACCTAAAACCATCGTTGTATTTTCTGTGTAATATTGCATCATTCTATAGACATAAAATAATGTAGTAGATTAATAGAAAAACATCTACTACAATCGCTACAGAACTAAACCATGAACCATGATTTAACTTTTATTCGTGTCATCAACGAGCTAATTACTAAAGTATTCATCACAGTCTGTGGAAGGAATAGGTCAAACTTTTTACTTTATATATTAAAGGAATTTTTTTAGATTGTGTTTCATAACATGCCAAAAATATTTTATGGTAAAATAAAAAGGACTACATATTATTTTCGAACCAATCATTTTTTCGGTTTTTATATTCGTTTTCTCTTGTAAACATCCTTCAAAGTATCTCATGTATTTGATAAATTAATTTATATTTAGAAAAGCGAAAATATCATAATAGATGAAATATTTTCACTGTATTACAGGAAATAAATCAGATTTTTGAAATATAAAAAAATGGAATCGCTCCGCTTTCTCAACGAAAATCCGTATAATTGCCTACTTTTTTAAAGGATGTTGAGGTACTGAAGAAAAGGAATTTCTTCTCAATCCTTTCACAGTTTTATAAATAATAAGATTAAAAAGAATACAATATTCACGATATGTTTTGCTCTCAAACTCATTTACATCAATCACTTCATAAATATGAATATATGGGTTTTGTGAACAGAATGAAGCGAGAAACAGTTCGATAGTTTATCATGATGTTCCGACATGAGTATATAAAATTTGTAAATCGATACAGTTAAGTGGGGTAATTCGGATCAAATTTTCAAAAATCCATCTTGTTTGTTTTCGTCCTCCTCTGTTATACATCGTATGGACGAAATTTTTATAAGAGAAGTAGAGTGGGGTTTTCTCTATCAAATGACGAAAGAATCTCCAGAAAATCATCTACTGTAAAAAAGTATCATGAAAAATGCTAAAAGCAACGTTGAGGTGATCCGAATTACCCGACTTGGGGTAACT